TTATCATAACTATTATCAAGATTTTTTTTGATTTCGACGATCAGGCGCGGATCCAGGGAGGGGCCATTGGGGCCATGGGCCATGCCCCCCCCCCTAGATAAGGAAAAATAATTTTAAAAATCAACATTAAATCGACCAATTTTTACGGGTTTACCAGGGACCGTATATAACAGAATTTTATTTCATGGCGTCATCATTTTATCACGGGCCTCTAGCCTATTCTATTTGTATGTACAGGGTGTCTAGTTATATTTTGACACCGTACCTGCAGCCTTCACCTTTACAGGTAGATGATAGGTGTGAACACAAAAGTTGTACAGTTTTAACTAAATTTACAGAATCCATCGTCAAAAACAAATTTTTTTTATGAGAAATTTGGAATTTTGCGTACTTTCAACTTTTTTAAATGAACTGCCATATATTTGCTTCTAATATATAGTTTGTCTATATTTGTTTGAGCCGTCTTCAACATTATGGCTCTAAAAATTGGAAAAATACTATCCTACTGGCGATTTTGTGAACCATTCTGATGAAAGCTTCAGGTAAAATTTGAGGCACTTGGTTTCTCTGATAGTATTTTTAAAATTTTTGAAGCCAAATATGGCGGAGACGGCTTAACTAAATATAGAGAAGCTATATATTTTTGGAATCGGAAAATTGTGCTCTTCAAGAATATATAGAATCAAATATAGGGCATTCTATTTGGAAAAAGTTGAAAGTAAGCAAAATTTCAAATTTCTGACAATAATTTAGCTAAAACTGCTCCACTTTTGTGTTCACTCCTATCATCTACCTATAAAGGTGGAGTGTCAAATTATAACCAGACACTCTGTACCTTTCCAATTTATAAGTTACATAAGTTTTCGAATATGAAGCCTGGTATTTCAAAAGCCTACCAAAATCTATTTACAGTAATAAATAAGACGAAATAGCTAAATTTTGCGGGAGCCAAGCGCATGGTTCTTTATTCAATTTTTTCATAAATCAGAAAAAAACAATTCTGAAAACAAATTTTCGTGCTTTTTTTTCAAAGTTTCAAAGTATCTTGACAAATAACATATTCCTAGCAGTTGTTCTGCTTATTTTATAACTCCTCTGAGAAGTAGGATTCCAAAGAAATTATCTATTTATTTTATTTTTTGAAAAAGTAAAATATACGTTTTATGCCGTTTCTCGAAAATGGTCGTTTGGCGCCTGGTTCCAGTTTCTATATCACTATCCAAATAAACCTACTTGAATATCCTCGCGAAAAATTGCCTATTGGTTCAGTCAGAAAACTAGTTTCAACCAATGAAATTCACTTTGACACTGACTGGTTTTTGAATTCTGCAGAAACTCAAAAGGATTCCGTGGAATTCCAGTAGGATTTTGTGGAATTTCGTTAACAGTGGTATTCTGGTGTACAAATTTTTCATGGTGGTTTACCCTCGTGATAAAGTATTCCTTAAAAAAAAAACTGTCCCGATTTTTGTTTGAAGTCCCGATTTTTAATAGCTTTCTCTGATTGGTAAACTCGATTTATAGATACTCCAGTCTGGCAACCCTAGGAATATTTCAAGTATAATCTAACATAACATAAAGTATTAGTTTGCTCTTTGTCAAATTACACGTTACAAAGAAAGAAGGAACGATTCATTCTGAACTGGCTCGTGAATAAGAATATGACGGAAGCCTGTCACAAATTTGCTTCTCATTGGACGCTCACCTGCAGCCTACAAGCGACGCGCGCAGTCCAGGTAATAGGAGATCGGTCTATTATTTTCATAAACAAAAAAGTTATGGAGGTTTCAAATTATTGCTCAAAATCCAGAATCGCCCTCTAGCGGCTAAACGGTTGAAGATATCAAAGTGCGGTTTGCATCAATCAAAATTTCATGAAATTTGAGCCTCAGAGTGGGGGGGTTAATTTTTTTGTATCTCGCTCAGAAATTGATGTTTCCTCATATGACGTTTTGGACAGTTTTGTCAAATTTACCTTCACAGGTTTCATCAATTGGAATACGTGTTGGAAGCAATTTCCGCCATTTAACATAATGAGTGCGACAAAAACAGGTATCCCCTCCGCAGCAGCGGCACTAGGCTTCACGTTCGTCAATATGTGTGCGCATTCCAGTTTTTGGTTATAGTTCATTGGTTATTAAAATCTGTTTTTTTTTTAAAGATAAAAGTCAAAATGACATTATGTTGGTAATACAATGTAAAATTGTCAATGCTTTCAAATTTTTTATTTAGAAAAGGCTTGTGTTGCCAACATAGTTACTAAATTTTTGACTTGGGGAATTATCTTTAAATAAAAAACAGACTTTACTCACCACATCATATGGTGTGTTCAGAGAAGACAGTGATACAACAAAACTTCGCGTTGTCTTCAATAGTAGTGCTTTATCTTCAACTGGACATTCTTACAATAACATTCAAATGTTCGGACTAGTTGTGGATCTACTATCCATTCTCATTCGATACCGTCAACATGCCTACGTTTTCACTGCTGAAATTTGTAAAATGTATAGACAAATTTTGGTGAAGGAGGATTTTAGACCTTTACAACTTATTTTCTGGAGAGAAGCCCCGAAAATAAGCTGTTGACTTTTTCATCAAACATTGTCAGGTATGGAACAGCAAGTGCTCCATTCTTAGCCACTCGCTGTATAAAACAATTGGCACTAGAAACTGAATCCTCGAACCCTCAAACAGCTCAAGTACTAGGCACATCGAGATTTCTATATTGATGACGTACTAGCTAGTAGTAATTCAGTAAGTGATACCATTGTCATATGTAGTCAACTCTCTTCTATACTAAAATCAGCAGGTTTCGATGAATTACGAAAATGAAGATCCAATATCCAATTCCGAAGATGTTATTAATAATTTAAAATCAAAAATCTCTTCAACAGATTCCTTTTACTTTTCTTCCTCGGAGAATGGGAAAATTCTCGGTTTACTTTGGTCATACAAACATGACTGTTTCTCCTTTCAAATAAGTCCTTCAACCAACACCAAAAAGATTACCAGTTAGTTTGGCTTTTAAAGTTATCGTGGGACCAAGAAGTACCGGACGATCTTTCTCAGAAATGGCTTAATTTCAACCCAGAACTCAACAATATACGCATTCCACGTTTTATATCTTGTCAAAGTCCTCTTTCTGTGGAACTACATGGTTTCTCAGACGCTTCACAAAAGGCTTATGGAACTTGCATCTATCTCCGGCTCATCGATGCTAACCAGATTGTTCATGTTAATCTACTGAGTTCAAAAAGTCGAGTAGCTCCACTTAAGTCACTCACAATAGTTTAGAACTTTGTGGAGCACTTCTTTTAGCAAAAACACTTTCAAAGGTTTCGAATTCCTTAACTATGAAAATTGACAATTACTTTATGTGGAGCGATTCCACTTTTCTTGGAAATCGAGTAGTGCAAATTCAGTCCTTGAAAAATGCTGCAAATTGGCATTATGTACCAACAGAATCAAATTCAGCTGATTGTCGGGAATAATAAAATATTGAACACTCTGTATCTTTATACAGTGGCTTAATTTTGTTGAGTCAAATTAAATTGTAGTGGGTAGAATTGTTTTCTATCACCGGCTTTCCTGAACGATTTTACAGATTAAGAGCCAGGGATAATAAAATATTGATCACCCCATATCTCTACACAGTGGTGGAACTGTTTTCGATTAACAGCTTTCGTGAAAGATTTCCTACAAGAGTCGGAAATAATAAAATATAAAATATTGATCACTCTGTATCTTTATACAGTGGCTTTTTTTTTATTGAGTCAAATTATTACAATGGGTAAAATTGTTTTGTATTACATGCTCTCGTGAAAGATTTTCTACGTTAAAAACTAGAGATGATAAGGTATCGATAATCCTCTAGTATCTTTATACAGTGGTAGGATTAGTAGTAGGTGCCAAAATTTGGATTGGCTTTGGGCGCCGAGGATTCTAGTTGCGGCCCTGGTTGCTATTATTTTTTATTAGGTATTTCTCTTCATATAAAACTACCATTTGTAGCAATATAATTCTTAATTACTTCAAGGCCATACTCAGTAATATATTCATTTTTATTATAGATTTTCAAGAGATATTTCTGGATGGCGCGTATCATAAATAATAAAATTTCCATTTAAAGTCTGCATAGGGGCGTTCCAGATGTTCTATTTTCGTACTCCATTATTCATAATAAATTAAAATGATTACCTTGACCGGATTGCAATCTAAAAGTGGACGATAAAGGAATAATTTTACATTATGCGTATTAAGTATGTACCTGGAAAAACAAATCGTTATAAGATATCAAAAAAAAAAAAAAAAACCATATACCAAAGGTGAAAAATATTCTGATCTATGAAACAGAGACTGCTCCATTGAAAATGTTAATAGTGAAAACTCTTTTAAATAAATAAAAAAACACTAACCAATCATTATCAGTTTACAAATTCAAATTTCAAATTACCATTGCTTCAAAAACAGTTATTGGTCATAGTCCCTACCGTTCATGGAAAATTTCCATTTCATCATTTTCCATAGTATCCCCCCGATAATCGTCCACTTGATGTGAGTTGCGTGCCCCGTTAGAAAAATAAATTCGGATTTCGTGTCGGTTAAAGTTAAAAATTGAAGCTGAACAAAGGCCTGCTGCGTCCTATGCTCGAAATTGTCGATTGGTGTTAATTTTCATTTGAGAGAAAAGTAGAAAACCACCTCAAAAGGTCAGGGTTGAACGCAACAAAGGTTATTGCCATAAGTTTTCCGAGGAGCCGGAGACTTAATTTATTCTTTTTTCGCAACAAAGGGTTTTTTTTGATAACAATCTACAAGCAAATGTTAATGAGTTTTTTTTCTATAAAAAAAAGATTCTCGTGTAATCAAGATATACCATCTAGCTACCTATAAAAATGCTGAATTCTAAGTCTCACTACCTAAGGCCACACAAAACTAATTCCTACAACAATAGACAACACACAAAACATGTAGTTGGTTCTTTATTAACTATTACTCACTTAGGTAACTTACTCCTCCTTTTGAGGCTGGTGCTTCTGGGAGCTCTCCTCTGTTTCATCTTTTCTCAATTCTTCCACTTTTTCTTCCAATTTTGTAACATTTGCACCCATATGATGGTCATTTTCTAAGTCTTCCATTAGCAGCTCTTCTCCTTTTTCCATAGCCTGCTCAGCTTCTGCTTTTTCCAAATCTTCATCCAAGTCGTGGAACCTAGCTTCAAGATCCTCGAACTCTTTCGTTTCCATATTGTCTTTTAATGTTTCTTCAAACTATGATAAAAGGAATTAAGCAAATACAATTAAACATTTTTGGACTTTACCCCATCGTTTAAAGAGTGCACAGTTTCGAAAAATGGCGAGGTTCCTGATTGAAAAGCTTCACGGGCATGCTCAGTTTCCGATACTATTACAGTTTCAGCTTCAGAAACTGCTTCGCCAGCTGCTTCTGTTGTTGTAGCCATCGTTGTGCTGAAATTGTCAAAACTAAGTTTTGGTCTTCAGACTGAATTTTGTTTGGGAAGAAAAATTACAAAACTTGGAATGAAAAAATTCAAGACCCAAAAGAATTAAGAATAAAGAAATAAGGAAAAATCAAGTGTCTGGAATAGGAAAAATTATAAACATTGAAGAATTTGAATTAAAAGAGAAACATTTTCTTGCTAATATTTCCTTATTATTACTCTAACTTGACTTGAAGCATGCTAGATGTTTTTCAATAATTTCTAAATTGTTCTAACAGATTTTTAAGTATTTTAGAGCCCAATTGAAGCTCCTAAGTGTTCTAAATCGGTTTGAAAGAGTTCTAAAACGTTTCCTGTTCCAAATTGAATCTTAAAAAAGTCTCCTGAAAGGCGATTTGTAACTTTTAACTTAAATCCTAAGATTCTGGCGCATTACAAAATGTTTCCTAAATGGTTTCCAGTAACTTCTAAATTGAATGAGAAATGAATTCTGTGGGAAATTTTTGTAGACATCTTAAAGACGTCCCTAAGATGTCCACAAACGACATTCATTGCTTACGACTTTAAGGCGTCTCAAAGACATCTTGTAAACGTCGTATGTTACAAAATCCAACGTCTTTAGGACTAAGACATTCTAAAAAGTCTTCAACGATATATCTTAAAGACGTCTTCAAATCTCTTTTCAAACCATTATTCACTTTAAAGCCTGGTTATCTTCAAGATATGGATTTACGAAATCTTAAGAACATCTTCAAAACAAAGTCTCTTCTAGACGACTTTTTCTGGTTTTCAGACGTCCAGACGTATTGCAGAACTAAAAAAAGACGTATTTAAGACTTTGTGTGCTGTCAGGGTCTACTCTAACTTTCCATATTCTCGAGCACAAATTAATTGTATACCTACCTACCCAAGTTGAAGAACTATTTATTATTGAAATGGGGTTTTAGGTATCAAGATTTGGATGTTTTCACACTTAAATGTAGATCATACATAAAAACTAACATCAACAAAACCAAAAATTTATGGTTTTCACTAGAAATATTTTTCCCCAAGTGAACTTAATGGAGAGCAAAAATTTCAAATACATGGGCTCTGTCTTGTGAATGACAAATGGGACCCAGAAATCGAAATCCAAATTACAATAGAGCAAGCTAGAAGCTAGAATAACTGCTTCCTCCAGTTCAGAAAATTCCTGACCAACCAATAATAAGATTTCAACTTCAGAATCTTGTGGTTGGTAAATGATAGGACGAATGCTCAAAATTCGTATTTTGACCATAAAAGGAATGAGCCCAGCGGGTCAATTCTTGAAAATTCTCGCATACGTAAGTTGATTCGAATTCGAATGACAGCAACGTAAATTGAATAGGAAACATTCGAATTCATATCAATTTTCGTATGCGAGATAATTCAAGAATTGGGGGCCAGATAGCATGGGTTGTCTCTGGGACGTTTGTTCTAGATCCCATGTAAGTCTTAACGTATCAGTTTAAAAAAACGAGATCCTAAGAACGACCTCTAACGGCTAATCTAGGAATATGTCAAATGTATATTCTTTTTGGACTTCCTTGAATGTTGTATTCCTAATATCCCTGGGAGTTCTCTTTGAACGTTCATCATCATCATCAAATTTTGTGTATTACCGACTCGCTCGATAATTTTTCTAGACAATCAAGAGCCGGTTATAATTCAAATTTTGATTATTACCGGCTCTTTGAGTTCCTGGGGAATTTCTCTAGATAATCAAGAGCCGGTAATACTTTAAATTTTGATTATTACCGGCTTTTGATAAGCTGGAAATTTAATAAAGCTCCTAATTTCATTATGCAACCCAAATTCGGATTATAACCGGCACTCGAGTCCCTCGGTAAGTTTTCTAGACAATCACGAGCCGGTAAAAGTTCAAATTTTGATTATTACTGGGTACTGGCTCTGAAGTTATTGGGTAGTTTTTCTAGACAATCAAGAGCCGGTTATGTTTCAAATTTTGATTATGACCGGACCTGGAATCGCTGGAGAATTTCTCTAGATAGACCAAAGACCTCGATAGACAGTCAAGAGACGGTGATAGTTCAAATTTTGATTTTTTTCGGCTCTTGAGTAGCAGGGTAGTTTTTCTAGTCAATCAAGAGCCTGTAATAGACCCTGAGATAGGGCCTGTTTAGTGGAGTCATTTTTTTTTGTCTGGCATTTTGAGGGATGAATGTGGCTAGTTAGCTGATGAGAATATAGGTGGTTTTAATGCATGCCACCTGTTCGAAATGTCCACAGAATGTTTCGCCGGAAAACTCGACTTCGAACTGGGATTACCGTCTGGCGATTTTTCAGCGATATTTTCACAACAAAACCTTCCATTCTCTCGATTACCAGACAAAAAGTAAACGCGGAAGGTTCTTTTCTTTTCTCTTGGAAGTTGACACTCATCCCCACTTTTTCAGCTATTGAAAAGCATCTGGTATTTTTTATGGGTGAATTATTTATCAATGTAGAGTAACTAAGCCGGTTCTAGAGCGGAAGTGACGTCACACTCGTTCTGGGGCCCGCGCCCGTCATCAGTGAAGCCCCAAATTGAAGGGGCCTAACCCAGGTGGGCCTGTGCCCCATTTCGTGGCCCCATTTTTTTCGTGGGCCCCATTTTTTGTCAAGCCCCAATTTAAAGAAGCCTAACCTAAGTAGCAAGCCCCAATTTGAATAGACCTAACCCAAGTGACGTCAGCAAAGCGGCCACATGCTTGCCCCCGCTGCTAGACCCGTGGCCCCATTTTTTTTCGGGGGCCCCATTTACATGAACTCATAACCTGAAATGAGATACCCCATACGAGATGACAGGTACGTGCGACGTTGTCGAAACTAATAATGTGCGACGTTGCCAATAAAATTTCCCTAAATCTAGGGAAAAATCGGAAAGGGGCCACTTGTCTCGGGTGCTAGACCCGCGGTCCCATTATCCGTATATGGAACCAATACAGGCCCCAAATTTTGAGGCGCACGTAGCCTAGAACTCTTTTATTTAGAAGCCAAAAAATTTGAGATCATTAAAAAAAAAATTCCTCATGTAAATCAATTTTTTTTTTTCTGCAAATTTTCGAACAGGAGGCAGGCATTAAAATCACTCATATTCTCAACAACTTAGTAGCCACATTCATCAGCTCTCAAAATGCCAGACAAAAAAAAATGACTCCACTAAACATCCCCTATCTCACAGTCTATAAGGTAAAAGTCCCAATTATTGACACTGTCCCGATTATCGACATTTTTGTACTTAAGATCCAAAAAATAAGAATCTGATTCTTGCTACATTTGTTGTCGTATCATAATAGGAAGAAAGTAGGTTTTCCCCACCAAAATATTTGAAATGAGTCATTCTGCACTCTGCAGTGACATGTGTACTAGTGCAGATCGTTGTGAAAAGTGCTAAGAAACAGGTAAGTTGATTATGGTTATTTTAGTGTCTGGAATATTTAACTAACCTTATGGAAATTGTTGTATATACAGGGTGAGTTACTGAGCGCGCGGTCGTCCATATCTCCTATACTAAAACGGAGATCGAAGAAAAAGCTAAATACAAAACTTGTAGATAAATGGTACTACATTCCTAAATTATTTTCCAGTATACAGGGTGGCCCAATAACTAGTAGTGACATAAAGTTTGGTTTTCCTAAATGACTCCCCATGTATATTATGACTTTTCTGGATTTTACGGAAAATTCTAGACATTTCATGTACAATGACATATACCTATCTTTAACTGTTTCGGAAATATTGACAGCTGAAAATTGACTTTTTTGTATCTGTGACAGACTGTGAAATCTAAACGGTTAATTTTAGAGAAAAACGGATTTTACATTCCTATCTTAGATTTTTATAAGCTTTCATTTGACATCAACTTTGAATTTAATCGAAGAATAATAATTTAGGTGGAATTTTTAATAATGGATTAAATTCAAGATTGGTGTCAGACGATAGTTTATGAAAAACCAATATAGGAATGTAAAATCCGTTTTCTTGTAAAATTAACCGTTCAGGTTATACAGTCTGTCAAAGATGCAAAAAAGTCAGTTTTCAACTGTCAATATTTCCGAAACAGTTGAAGATAGGTATATGACATTGTACATGAAAGATGTCTAGAATTTTTCGCAGAATCCAGAAATGTCATAATATATTGGAAAAGTCATTTAAAAAAAACATAACTTTGTGTCACTATTAGTTATTGGGCCACCCTGTATACTGGAAAATAATTTAAGAATGTAGTACTCATGTTTATCTACAAGTTTTGTATTTAGTTTTTTCTTCGATCTCCGTTAGTATAGGAGATATGGATCACCGCGAGCTTAGTACCTATGTATACACCGCACGAAAATTATCGCATCTATTAAAGCAGAAAACACAGAAATAAACAGCATAATTGCAAAGTGGAATGTATGCCTATCCGCATTTTCCCGAAAAAAGTAAACAAGAATCTAACAGGAGAAGGAACGACGTGTTTTTTGACTCGAGTTTTTCAGTTAAAGAATACCCATTCAGGGAATACTTAAGAAATTTTTAAAATAAATTTACTGTAGCCAAAATATTTAAAAGCATTGGTGATGCGATCATTTTTGTGCGTGTGTATACAGGGTGTCCCACGGTGGATGGCGTATTAGACGTTAATGGAAAACTAAAAAGCGGATCATTTTGAAAACTTGGCAACCGGGATAAACGACCATAATCTATACTTTAAAAATATTTTTGTTTATGCGGTATTGCCGCTTCTGCTCCAAACCAGTGGCAACATCGCTATTTTAAAGGGAACACCCTGTATTTGATTGCATATTTGGATTCTACGTTAAATTCTGAACAGATTTCATGTGATATACCCTATACCTAAGTTCAACTGTTTTGGAAATATTGACAGTTGAAAATGGACTCTTTGCAACTTTGACAGGCTGTAAAACCTACACGGTTAATTATTGAGGAAAACTGATTTTACATTCCTATCTTAGATTTTCATAAACTATCATTTGACAT